TCATCACCGGTGATGCTGGGGGCGCCTCCATCGCCACTGCTTCGTCCGCGCCCAAGCGTTCCTCTACGCGAGCATCGTTCATCACGGCGAGAGCGTCGGGCTGCTGCTGACCCATACCGCCGACGTCATGGCCATCCTCGTGAGCCAGCGTCATCGTCGCCTAACCCCCGGGGACTCCTGAGAACAAGCCCCATCTCGGCTCTAAAGCCGCGTGTTGCTGTGTCCCGTTCTCGCGACCGCTTTGTACCTGCAGACTGGCCGTGTCGAGTGGCCAATCTGCGCACCCCGTTTAACCCGACCGGTTTGGTGTTCCCGACGGTGGCCCACTTCGGCTGGTGTGAGTGCGCGCTGCCGTGCCGTGTGGGTACGTGCAGGAACTCACTGATGCAGTTTTTCTGCACGCCAGGCTGCTGTCCTTACGAAGCCAATTGTGGGAACGCCTTGGGCGAGTCCTCTTCGGTTTTCTTGGCGCGGAATGTTTGCACACGGCAGTTGGCGGTTGTAGCGGCTGAAGACATCGAAGCGGGTGAAGTGCTGGGCGAATATTTGGGCGAGTTAGAGCATGTGAGCGTCAATCCCCGCGGCCGACCTCGAAACGAAGGTTATCGTCTTGTTATGACACAGAGACCGGAAAGGCCGAGCCACCCGATCCGTGTCGCAATCAACGCAGAGAGCATGGGCGGCCTAATGCGCTTCGTTAACCACTCCTGTGCGCCGGTGGCGCAGTTCGTAGAGGTGTCGAACGGCCGTCGCACCACCGTTGTCGTTGCCACGACGGAATACATCCGGGAAGGAGAGGAAATCACCGTCGACTACGGGACGGATCTCTGGTTCGTGTGTCGTTGCGGCCTCGCGACCTGCCGCCACCGCGAGATCCAGAAAGAGCAGGACCCGTAGCGTGCGTGCGGGTACCAGCAAGATGTGAGCGTGATGAGTAGAAGCGATTACATACTAACATCCTGTGAATGAATGTATCCATCTTCGATAGTCCACGCTGGTGTTGAAGTGAAGTTGTACGTCTCTTCATTTCGAAGCTTTACAGTCTAAGTTGAAGCTGGAGGACGGGGTTTCGCGCCAAAACAAGAGCCCCCAAGAGATACCAACGGTAAGAAAAAGCTTCGGTCTCCGTTAGCGCACTCGGTTGGGCGCCAAATCATCTTGTAGCTTCTACTCACGCTCGATTTTGGTGGATAGAGGCCGAAGAGCGCCGCCGGCGCCGCGCAAAAGCGCGGCGCTGACAGGCGAATTCGGAGCTCTCATTACTGGTTTTGCCAGCTTCGGGCAAGTCACCCCGTTCTCGACG